TATTACTATTATTATTGTTATTATTATTACTATTTTCATTATTAAATAAATTTGCTTGAATTGTCACCAACTGTGATCGTTCTGGTTACAATTTCACGCGTAGCTGCTCCAAAATTTAATCAAAATTTCAACAAAATCTTTTTTCAGGTTTCCGCTTTGCCAGCATGCAAGTGAAGACTGCAATTGCAAGAATCATCTGCAATTACTCAGTACATCCCTCCAGCAAAACTCCCACAGAAATAGATTTTACACCCAAGACATTTTTGTTGCAACCAAAAGATAGCCTCGAATTTATTTTTAGAGCAATTTGAAAGAATTTTTTAAATGTACGTAAAAGTATAGTTTGAAGTAAAAGTACTTGTGAAGTATATTTTCTCTTCATTTCAATAATTATTTCATATTTAGAAGTAAACTAAACAGACGTGACAGACGTGACGGACGTGACGGACGTGACGGACGTGACAGACGTGACGGACGGGTCGGACGGGTCGGACGGGACGGACGGGACGGACGGGACGGACGGGACGGACGGGACGGACGGGACGGACGGGACGGACGGGACGGACGGGACGGACGGGATGATCCGCATATTCTGCCATTGATAAATGTCGGAAGGAAAGATCTGGACATTCTGACGGCCATTGCGTTGTTTCAGTTGTGAGGTTATGTGAAGCGTGTGGAGGGAACTTGAATCCGTCCAATTTAATTATTCCGAGTTCTAATATGAAGTTTTTTTTAATGTATTACTTTGTTGCGAAGTGTAGATTAATTGTTTAGCAATACTATCTGAATCAAGAAGTAAGATTTGCCAATTTTAAATTTGTGGGCATTTACAAGAAGCTACACAGTATTGGTGAAATTTGGATCATTTATGCATGGTGAATAAATTATGCCCTGTTTGAATTGATTCATTTCTTTAATAATACTAGAAAATCAGATAATGTTTTCATAAGTCTAGGATGAATGTTGGTAATTTCAAAGAAAACAATCGCGCTAATTACGAAAGTGATCAAAAAAGTTTCTATCGGGCAGAATTCATAAGATATAAACATATTTAGTGTTTGAAATAAACAATATCCTATATTAATTTCTGCATGCCGCTCCGGATATATTACTACAAATGTTTATGAACATGCTTCATTTGAGGTAAGGACGAGTTAAAAATGGAATTCAGTGCAATAATATTGAGGCTTATTGGAAGAAGAAATTCCAATGCATAGCAGAAAATGCTTTGCGTATAGTCGATTACTCTTGTATTCGTGTTTATTCTATCTAAAAAGAAACCAGAAATAATTTCTTATCATTGTAAGACCTTGATGTCCATTCTCCATTTGTAGCCAATAGTTTGAAGAAAGTGTTCATCGTGTTCATCTCTAATATCACCCAAATTCTGGTGAAAAATTAGGATGGGTGTGAAGAATGTGAATTTACGGACACATTCTACACATATATATTTGAAGATTTCTAACAATTCTGTGACCAATGTCATATAATTGCCTTCTTTTTTTGTCCCCAGAAATGAATGCACAATTCTTTAAAGTAATTGCCAATTTTTATGATTTGCAGGCCGACGAAAATTTCTTCCTTCGATTTAGCATACTCATACGTAGAATTATTTCACTGCATTGGAACTATATTTTGAAGAATCTATAAGCAAATGCCATGCATTTGGACTTAAGCGAAAACACAATACACTCATTACTCAGTACTCACACATTACTCACCCTGTCTGTACAAAAACAAAAATGCACATTCAAGACGAGAGTACTGGGCAAAGGTCTCTTACCTGTTTCTAAACTCCCAACCCAATTGGCCATATTCCAACCTGATTCGTCGTGCACTGTCCCAACACAGTCTGCTCCATCACAAACAGTACAATCCCATTCTGTCCCATTCCAATATCTCCTATTTCAATCTGTCCGATTTCATACTGTTCCATGCTAAAGGGTCCCATCCCATCCCAGCCTGTCCCGTCCCAATCTAATCTGTCTTATCCCAACCAGTCCCATCCCAATTTGCCGTATCCAAACCTGTGACATCCCAACCTGTCTCATCCCAACCTGTCCCATTCCAACCTGTCCCATCCCAACCTGTCCCATACTAACCTGTCCCATCTCAACCTGTCCCATCCCAACCTGTCTCATCCCAACCTGTCCTATCCCAATCTGTCACATCCCAATGTGTCACATCTCAATTTGACATATCCCAATCTGCCACACCACACTGTTCCCTCTCGCTTCGTCGCACCCTGCTCTGTCTCGCCCTGCTACAACCAATCTCGTTTCATCGCAACCCGCTCTTCGGCTTCTGCCAGTCCCAACTTTCTACGAATCGCCTCGCGTCTCCTCAAGGCCAATCTTCCTTCTCCCCTTTCCTTTCCGACCCCCTCCCCAACCCCAACGCACCAGACCGCCTTCCCGGGCGCAGCACCATCCTCCCAGCGCGGCCACGAAGTTCGATTCCGATTCTTTC